TGATGCTGGCTTTTGATTTCTCCCCGTTTTTAAGTTTTTTCAAACCAGTTCATAGACCACCTCTTTATTATTCAGGCGCAGAAACATACTCATTTAAACAAAACATCAATATGAGGATAGATGTTTAATTAAACTTTTTTCCCGTGATGTGGGAGTTGGATCTTTTATTGCAAGGTGTTGCAAAATCCCTTGACAAAGACTCGGCCTGCATAGTGAAAAAGTTCTTGAAGAGCGATTGAAAATGCTGTTAGAGGTTTGCCTGTTATTCCAGAGCTTCTACTTGAGCAGAGTGCAAGCTTCTGGTTCACACATCCACACGAGAATTGATTCTAAAGTTACACAGACAGCCCACTAAAAAAGGTCAAAGTGAAAAGGTTCCTTTTAGCAGGAACTCCATTAGCATTAGAGCCTATAAGAGCAGACGGCCTGTGTACCTATCAGAAAAGTTTTTAGGAATAGACATCTTGCTCCTGATATTTCTCTACATCCACATTTGGATGTTTTTACACATTTGGCTAGGCTTTAGACAGAAAGAAAATGAAAACCCATGATAGACTGAGTCTAGAGTAAGTGCTGCCTCCTTTAAAAATGTATCAATGAACATAGTCAGCCTTGGTAACTAATAAGTTCCTCCTTTCCACTTGGTATTTGTTGCAAATTTCTTTATCTTCTTTGACCCAAGTTTCAGAAAACACACTAGTGCCGCTGAATTCAAGCCTCTCATGCTCTTCGCAAACAACGCAAATATTTGTGGATTATGGTGGGGATTCTGATGAAACCTGTTACATGTCACCTTCAAACAAATCCCACATGCCGAGCTCCTTTTTCTCTGCACTGTCGTGTGCTGCGTCCACATTAGAGCTGCTGCTGGGTTCCTCATCTAGATTTCCAACCAGTGGTGTTGCTTATATGGAGGGAGCAGGTGTCTCAATCTGGTTTAAGATGGAATATGAAGAGCTGTACAGTGTTCCTTTGTTCTGGCATGACTCAAAAGTAAAAAAAAAAAGAGGAAAAGATGGAAAAGAAGGGTCAGTTGCATGCTCTCATCTGCTAAACAGGCAGATAAGAGCAAGGTTCCATTAAATTATAGCAGAAATTCACCATTACTTCAAAATGAAGGGTTTACAGGGTTTCTTGGTTAATTTATTTAACAACTTTGGTAAGTCACCACCATAGACTGTGTATAGAATGGGCACCGTCTGCCTCCTTGCTTGGTGAAGCCACTCTGAGAACAGCACCCTCTGTTGACAGGCTGCAGGATAGGTCATAAAACCACTGTTAGAAACAGACCTGCATTCCTGTCGTTGTCGGATCAATGAAGAATTTTGGTAACCAGTGACAACTTTTTGCAACTTGTCTCTCTGAAACACCCTCTTCTGCTTTTAATCAATACAAGCATGAGAAAGGTACCAGTTGGTCAGTCTGGCCTTCGTATGTTGTGAGTGTTTGAGTTTTGGGAGGTGGGTGCAGACATCGGTGTTTCATAGGTGTTAGGGAAACAATCAGGGAACAGAAAAGTAATGGCATTTTACTGCACTGAGGGGGATTGTCGTCACTGCAGGCTGTGGCTGCTTCAGGGAACCCTGGAAATGGGGATGACAACAATAATGAATAAGTGAATAAAGTAGACAATCTTACTGTTGAGAAGAAACATAAACTGCATTTGATTAGACAATGTATAGTGGGAAACGATTATGACCCGTTTCAGGTCTTATAGCAGACATGGCATGTCAGATACAAATATTCTTAGAGATGATCTAAGTGACTATTGAATAGTATTTTGGCTCGGAATGCCCATCTCTATTACATTAGCTCCATGCTTTATGGATCTGTGTCTCTGTCTTGCTTGTCATTGATTAGAGAAAATGATGTGTACCCACTCACAAACTGTTGTGTGCAGTTGGTCCTTTCTAAAGCATAATTCCTGCCGTGATAACAACTGATAAGACCCATCTAATGACCAGATAACAAAAGAAGCATCTGCTCTCTGCCTCCTCTCCTAACTCTTTCTCTTTCTTTTCCCTCTGTCTGTCTCTCACTTGTCTCCTCTCCAAGTTCCCCCTCAACAACAGCCAGGCCAATTAAGAAATGGCTGTTGAAAGGGTAGCAATTATTCTTTTGCAAGACATACATGGCTCCTGCTTGCCTCCACACATTATTATCTCTCTGGTATCCTACAGTGAGGTGCCCGGCCAACCATTCACTGCAACCTCTTACACTTCTGCCAGCCTCACTGCTTCTTCTCTCTATCTTGCTGTCTGCACTGATGAGGGCCAGATTGCAAAGCATGGCAGTCTGAGGCCCATTGGTGGGCAGAGAAACACAAGATAATGGGTGGATTATTAAGGGAAGCCCTGTTGAGAGAAAAGATTTTTTTGATATCTTTGCCACCACCCACACAACCTACATTCCATCTCCTTCCTTGCATCGCCTGCCTTTTCCTCTATCTCTCCACTATTTTCTGTAGCTCTTATCACTTTTTTCCCCTCAGTGATGATCCCTGGCTGCCACATGCAAATGAAAGACACCGCTGTGGGTTTAATGCTAATCAATACTGTGCAAATATTCATTTAAGGAGATGGCTGCATAGCGAGCGACGGACCTCAGCTACTTTAAATGCAAGGAGCTCTATGTTTTGCTACAAGCATTGTCATGGAAATGCACATTCATACATGCAGTAACACTTGAACACAGCCCATCTCTGAGAGATGCAGAAAATCAACCACCAAAGAAATAGAGAATTGGGTGGCAAAAACAGGCAAGATAACAACTGAGGAGACCAAAAAGTGGAGGGGGTCGGGTGCTTTTAAATAACCATTCCACCTGTATAAATAATAGAAACCTCTCTCACTGTCATTACATAAGGCTTTTGTGTGGAAATTGTGTATTGCTTCACCCAAGAAAGAAGTGCAAATGGAAAAAAGGCAAAGGCTGTGGGTGCCACAGGCGTGGGCTCGATGTTGGCTCCATCATCCATAAAAGCACATAAGTAGACACCTAAAGGGCTGGATTAAGAGCCCCACTGTGAGAAGAGCACCATGGGACATGTAAAACAGCCTGTTAATATAACTTCAATCTGTGTGAGTCAATCAGTCTGGATATTTGGGGGAGAGAATACTAATAGTACATTAACTCAAGCTGCTTAAATCAGATTGTAGTGTTTAATTAAAGGCAGAACCAATATTCAAATGTAAACAAAAGTGTTGGCCCAGCACCAAGGTGCCGGATTTGAATTTCAAATTGAGTGACACATCTTGGAGTAATTTATTGATATTTCCTGATTATTTCAGGGAGGTTAAATCACTTACACGCCAACTTTTTATGAAAAACTTGAATGTCAATGAATGTGCTATAAGTGACATGCTCAAACCCCACCTTCTAGTATAAAAGTCTGACCTTCATTTCCATTTACAATTTTTTGAAAAAAACAAACAAAAAAACTAAAAACTAAATAAATAAATAAAAGAAATACGACGTGATGGTTCTATAGCAAGACCGTTCTCTTTAGGCTATTTGGGCATGCTGTTTGTAATAAAGCAGCAAAAAGAAATATTTCTCAAAAAATAGCAGTGTAGTAGTTAAAAATATTATAAAATTATAATAAAAAAAGCAACCTTTGGACTCAAAATAAAAAAGTTAGGATTCATCTTTTGAGGAAAATAGCTGTACCCAGTTTTGTGAACACCAGTTGAATACTTGCTGAGAAATTTTTGTCTAGACCATAGTGTCGGACAGACTGACACGTCAGTTCTACACGGAAAGTGCAAAGCTACTTCAAAAGGTATCAAAACAGATAAGATGTATGTCTTAAATCAACAAAATGATGTTTATTTACAGATGAAATGTGAAATTTGATCCTGTAAATATGCCCAAATTGACTATCACTAGTCTTTTCAGCATTGTCCATTTCATTCTCACTACATTGTCATACTACAATTTTAATTCTTTCCACATTAAAAAACACATTTATCAGTTTTTTTTATTCATTTACAGGTTTCATTTTGGTGCCTGGATAAACTACAGTAACATGTTTGTGTATCACAGTGTCTGCAGATGAATCTCATGTAACTGAAGGGAAAAAAAAAACACATGGTTGAACCACATGCCAACCAAATATAGAAATTCTGCTCCTGTGGTGTTAATCATGACAGACTTTATTAAATCACTGTCAGCCCTGATTATCGACTCACTTATTTTCTGTGATGTGGAGAGGGTGTTTGAACTGACAAGGTGTACATGTGTGGGTGGTGGAGGCCATGAGGAGCGAGGGGGTGGTTGTTGAGTGAGTAACTCTCACTCCTTTTCATTTCAACTCTGACAAATTTGCCTTTGCTTTCAAGTTACATTCTCAGCAGACTCTTGTTTGGCCGCATCACAGTCCCTGAGAGACATCGTCCAATTGCTTGTCTCCTGTTAGCCCACCCCCACACACAGCACAAACATGCTTAGCCTGTGCAGTCTGTCTATGGCAGCCCTCTATTGAGATGCTATTCTTCTGAAGTAGGACGATGTGGCTCCTGGCGGTAACCCTGAAATAGAATCATTGAAAACAAAATAACAGGAGAACATTCCTCTTGCTGTCATTTACAATAGCCACCCAACTTGGCAGGACCTTGTTTTACAGCTCTCTCCAACCAATCGATATATGGCTTTCATCTTCAATGTGCTGCCGAGGTTGTGCTGGAAACACATTTTGTACTGTTGTGCTTTGTCTCAACCTCTATTTCCTCCCCTCCTTTCTTTTTTTCCGTGTCCTTCATTTACCATATTTTGTCTTTTGTCATTTCACGTTCTCTTCCGCTCACTCTCCTGGGGGGTAGCCGTCTTAAATAAACAGATTTTTCTCTTGCTGTTTATAGGGGGGAAAAAAAAGGCAAAGCCAGGAAGGAATTGGCCAAAAGATACTCAATCAATCAGTGTTCTCTATGACCCAAGTTATCTCTCCCAGAAGTTGCTCTCCCCTGTGCACTTCCCTCTCAGATAATTGTTTATTATGGTGCCTAATTTGGGGATTGAATGCTACGAGGCAGCATGGCCACTTCTGCCTGAGGATGAAGACAGTTATCCACTAAAGTACACAGAGCCAGCTTCCACTTGCATCGATAAAGAAGGTCAGATCCAAACATAGCAGGCTACACACACACACACACACACACACACACACTCGTGTACTTGCTGCTTTGCGAGGTCTATGAAGAAAGACCCACAAAGCGAGGACTACCAGTTCTCTTGAACTTAGAAACACAAAAAATATCATTCAGGACACTGGGGAGCACCCTTGACCTATACACTCACTCAATTTACATCTATTAGAAAGTTTTAGAAAAAAAGTTTTTAGCTGACCGAGTTAGGACTGAACTTGGTTTATGTTTATATGTAAAGAATTAATAAATACTGTGAAATTATTTTGCTTTGGAAGGAAGAGTTGGATATATTTGTATTTCTTAACAGAAAAAAGTGATAATCCCAACTTTACAATTAGTATTTTTTTTTATTACCTCCCTTAGTGTAAGAAAATGTTGGAAAAAAGCTGTCTATAAAATAACTGAGCTTGTGTAAACTGTTGAATGAAAGTCTGTCGGAATTCAGGTCTAACAGATCCACATATATGACAATGAATTGGCAAAAGAACTCACAAACTGAATTGACAGGAAGTGTCAAACAACTGAGTATTTATTTGTTTTTACTGTGCTTTGAACAACTTTTTCTCTCATACAATAATCTTTTAACTGTGAGTAACTCAGATGGATGAAAAGTTATGCAGATCGAACTGCACCATTTTCTCTGTTTGGGTTGATGCCCTAGGCCCCCCAAGCAGCAGAAAACTACAAACTGCACACGAATACTGTACAAACTATGAGTAACATGCTGAAAAGAAACCAACGTCAGAGTAGAACCATTTGTCTTTTAAGGTCATGGACACATAGGTGTTTTTAGGTTTGTCCTATTGATTGGACAAGGAAAGGTTAAACATGGGTGGGACAATGATGACTCTTGATGTCATCAGAACCAAAGCAACAACAAAAATGGAAACAGGCAGGTACGTTCGCCTAAAAAACTGAGTTCTACAGAATTAAAAGGGAAGTAGAGCTGTCAATCAAACAAACTTTTCCACACCCACACAGTCTGAGAAAAAGAACTAAAAGTCACTGACACCTGATTGACTTACCCGGCCCTTTAACACTTGAACAAATTTCTCTTTACCCTTATAATTTCGTTATAAACAAAGTACTTGATGTCTTTCCATGTCCTATTGTTGAGGGTTGGTGACTCCTTTCCAATGCACCGCTGGCATTCACTTTTTGCAGGGACCCTTTTCAAAGCTACAAGTTTAGCCATGCTTCTGAGGACTGCAGCCTTCTCCTCCCTTGATCATGGTCTTTTGATTTGTCTTTTTGAAGCACCTGTAAGATAAAAAACAGACAAACAAAAGAGTTTATCTAAGTACAGATTCCCATGTTAAGAGGAATCAGGGCTGTGATTAAATGATTCATTTAAATTGATTCATATTCTTACGGCTGTGTGTTTGTTTTGTGTGTGTTTTTCCCCTTTTGTCTCTCCATAGCTGCCCAGGTGAAATCACTGAGTGCTAATCAGACTCACCTGGTGCTGGGCCTTTAAAGATTGAGAGCTGCCTGCAGTCTGGAGAGGCATTTGGTGGGGAACTGCTGCCCTGCTGCCTCTCATTTGTGTTGTGGGTTCTTCGTGTTTAGTTTGTAATTTTGTTATTTGGTCACAATAAATCACTTGTTACACTTTTGAAGGTGTTTTGTTAATTTAATGGGTCAAAAGATGAGGATAGTTGTTAGCCCCATAGGGCTGCCTTCAGGTGGGGCGTAACAAATGGGGTCTCGTCCGGGATCGAAACATCCATGAGGTTTTTTTTTTTAGTTTTTTTTTTTTTTTAGTTTTTCCTTTTGTAACTAGTGACCATAGTTTGGGTTTGTTAGTCTTCTGTTTCTGTCACTATCATTAGTAGTTGGTTTTATTTGTAACTTCTGAGCACCCTGATCATTTAGTCGCCGGGCAGGGAAGAGCTTGCCACTTTTTTATTTTGCCTTTTTTATTTTTGGTGGTAATCCTGAGGAGGGGGCACACTTAGGTGATGCCTCGAGCTCGGCAGGCCACTGAAGACTAGTTAGGTAAGTCAGACATCTTGTCAAGTAGGTAGGGGTTGGGGTGACTCATTTTGCTCTTACAATTGTTTTGTACTACGGTACTGTTTTTGTGTGTGTTTCAGAAGGCTACCCATTCTTGCTTGGTCACTCTGTGTGAATACAACTAGGATTTTGTGTGCGCAGTAACTTGTGTTGTGTGACCATTTGTTGGTGGTAACTGCTCTCCACATTTGGTGGGTCACGTGTGAGTTGCATCTTAGGTTTAAGGTGGCAACGGTTGTGTAGTGGTGACTACTATGTGACCATTCTGTGTAGTGGTTTGCAGTCCACATTTGGTGGGTCACTTGTGTGTTACTGCTTCGTATACCTAATTTTATGTTCAGTTCGTTTGGCTTGTTGCCAGCCTTATCACAGTAATTTGAGTGTCTTTTGAAGACTTGTGTCCATTTGTAATGTGGTGGTGGCAGTCACCTTTTGTTGGATCTCTGTGTGCTGTTTGTGAATGACAGCAGTGTTGTAGTTCTACTTTTGTTGATCTGTCTGCGTGTGACTGCTCACTCCACATAAGTGTAAAATTTCTGTTACTGTGTGTGGTATTGGCCAATTTAGTGTTTTGCTCTTTGTGTGTGTGTGTGTGTTAACCTCATGGTGGTAGCCATTTTGATTTGTGGGAGTGGCACCCACTTAATTGGCTGCTTTTGTGATGGATGCTCTTGAATTTGGTTGCAGCATCTTCCTTGGCCCTAATTTAAGATTGTGTTCCTCACGACCCATGGACTGACAGTGCTGAGCAACATCACAGAATTTTAAAAAACAAATCCAATGTGAAATTTTAGACCTGCTCAATAAAACACAGACAATCAGAAGAGAACTGACAAAGGACAAGTTTGGTTTTTACTTCATAATCTACGTTTACTTCAGAGAAGCTTGGACCTACCACATTCATCCTCACACTCATCTTCATGCTGTAGTTTAGCTGCAAACTTTGGTTTCTTCTTGGGTGGTTCTTTTCCAGTCCACCGATGTCCCTCTTCACTTGAGAAAAGAAGACACCTGCCTTTCTAGAGCATTGTCTCTAGAAAAGACTTACTGATGTTTCTAGGTCTGGACTTACCTCCATCATCTGCTCGTCTTTTTGCAGCACATTTCTGTCTCTTCTTTAAAATTAAACTTGCTGCACTCCTGGACTTCTCCTGTTCACCTGAGAGAGACTGCAAAGGTAACTTTAGACTGGGGCTCATCACATCTCTGAGTTGACACCTTTCTTTGTGCTTTACCACGTGACCCTTGGGTAGTTGAGGGCCCTCTGTCTTGAACTGGCACTGAGCCCTGGGTTGTGTTGGCGTTGGATCCTGAAGACAGAAAAGTACAGAAATAAATCAAAAATATTTTCAAATTTTGGTGTGTGGTTTTCTGTAAATGGATAGATATGTTATGAATACTAAAATTAAATTTCTGATGAAGAGAAAATAATATCAGTGTTCCTACCAAAGACCACAGAGTCCAAAGTCTCCAAATTCTTCCCTTGGAGATACTGTGCCCCATGCTCCATGGCAAAGAGAAGTTTTCCTATCTTTGCGACCTGGAATGTTTTGTCAGTCTGTCGATAGTAGTCACAGTGGACCCTGATGTCATGTCCCATGAAGCAAGCTACTTGTTCTAGTTCTTGGCTGTCTAAGTCTAGAAGCTGGCACAAGGTAGCAATGTGTTTTCTTAGTTTTGTTGACCTAAGAAGTTCTGGATTACTTGCCTTGGACTCAACCGCAAATTTTCTCAGGCAATCACAACCCCTAATATTTGTTAATGTTCCCAGCCTTGCAAACAGGAAAGGATTGTCATCAAGTACACCTAAAACACTTAAAGTACACCAGATTCGGTCCGTTTTTCAATCAGGAGGACAAGAGAGGCTTTGGTGCGCTCTAGAAGAAGAACAGGTACTTTTCTGCCATGTTTCCTTCGTGTGACAATGCGCGTCAGTCTGTGGCTCAGCTGTTTTTCAACAGGTGAAGGGGATTTCATAGATGTCCTTGTTCACCGGTCCAGTGTCAGCATTTTGATAGGTTTCTAGAGTCAGACGAGATGCTTCTCCTTCTCTCAGACAGTTTTTTGTATGCTGAAGGTGTCACACGCTCCATCAACTCTGCTTTGGCCTGGTCCTCAATTGTCCTCAGATAGTTCTGCAGAGTGACAATGTCCTTTGTTAGAGGAACACTGTCCTCATTGTTCCACTTCCGCTGTTCTATTGTGCTGTGAGCATTTGCTGACACATAATCAGACCAAGACCTCTCCAGTAATTCCTTGAACTTCTTAGCCTTGCTCTCTCTAACATCATCTGATGTCATCAAACAGTGTCCGATCCAGGCCTCTGTTGCTCCTTTGAGGGAAAAGCCAATTTTTACTGCAGTAGATGGCTTCCCATATTCACTGGAAGTTGCATTGTAGGAGGACACCTTCCTTGCAGCTTTGATGGCCAGCTGAAACTTTGTGGGATCACACAAATCTTTGAGTTCTTTTGACATGTTTATCGATCTTCATAGCAGCCAACACAAAACGGCCAAGTTCTCTCATCTTTTGTGCGATGTATCGATGTTGAGACTGTTCTCGTCCTTTTCTTGCATACAGTTAATCTCCAAACCTCAGTATCATGTCATCATTTCTGATGTGAGTGGTTACATGATCTTGGAACATACTGTGGATTATATCCTGGACTCCCTCACATGATCCTGACATAGGAAGGAGTTGTGAAGAAGCTTTCTGCACTCTTCTTCTTTTTTTCTTCTTCTCGTTGTCACTCTTCCTCTCTCTACATGTCTTCTCATGTCTCCAGAGTTCAGTTCTCTTAAACATTGCAAAACAATGTTGGCATGGTAAAAATCCACTAACAGAGGCCTTGTCTGATGGCATTTTCCAGGTGATGATCTCTCCATGACCTTGTTTCAAGACTTCCATATTGTGCATCCAGTCACCCTTATTACGGAGGGATTCCAAGAGTCTCTTCCTTTCTTTGGAACGCAGTGGGAAACCAACAGCATGTGCAACATCAATTTCATCACCATGTTTTTGTTGTAAATGTCTGGCCATTTTCAAGTTTGGCTTTTTACAATAAACACAATAATGAGGTTTGTCCCATGCCCTTTTGCCATTCTTTTTCTGTGCTCTTTTCACTGTAATTTTCTGGCTCTCCCCACGGCTTAGCCTTTTTTCAGGTTCAAGGTGCTGGTCTGACCCAGCTCTGACTCCTGGGTTTTCCAGGGCGTCATCCCTTGCTGAGCTACAGTTGTCGCTTTTGTGATTGGATGGTTCCTCTGGGAGCATTTCATTATCACTGGACGAGGGTGTTACTGACGGAACGTAGTCCTCGTCAGATCGATTGTTGCTGGACAAATGCCTCTCATCACAGATTCATTTTTTAGATTTAGATGAATTTTTAGATTTTTTTTTTTGGTTTCCTGAGCACAGTGTTGATTGGTGCTGGTGGTCCTCATGAGATCCACTCTGACATGGTAGCTCCCGCTCCTCTGAGGATATTTGAAGATTATGTGATGGTGGGCTGCAGCTTTTGTTCCTGTGAGTGGATGCTGATGATGTGAGCTGAGGTTCTTCAGAGCTTTGGGGGAACATATGGGATGAGGACTGGTCTGTGTTGAAACCACTAGAGAGGCACAGATTCATTTGCTGAGACAGCTCTGCCTGTAGTGCCTTAAACAACAGGAGGGGGGAAAAAACAAGTTATTTTTACAACCGAAGTAAATGATTGTACTGATAATTAAAATCCTCTCCAGCCTTCCTCCAGACTCTGGCAACTTGACTTTCAAATGAAATACAAAACTTGCTTTCGCCTGAAAAGAGGACTTTAGACCACTCTGCAACTGTCCAGTGCTTCATTTCCATAGCCAAAGTCAGCTGCAACTTCTGTTGTCTTGAGTTCAGGAGTGGCTTGACCATGGGAATACGGCTATTGTAGCCCATTTCCCGGACACGTCTGTGAGAGGTGGCTTTTTGGCTTTTGATACCTGGACTCCAGCTTCAGTCCACTGTCTTTGAAGCTCCCCCAAATTCTGGAAGTGGCTCTTCCTCACAATGCTGTTTAGGCTGCGGTCCTCTCTCTTGGTTGTGCAGCGTTTCCTGCCACATTTCCCCCTTCCAACAGATTTTTTGTGAATGTGCTTTGAAACTGCACTCTGCGAACAGCCTGCTCTTCTAGAAAGTTCTTTTTGTGTCTTACCCTCCTGATGGAGGGTGTCAATGATGGTCCTCTGGACAGCAGTCAGGTCAGCAGTCTTCCCCATACTTGTGATTTAGTTTACTGAACCAAGCTGAGTGTTTTTAAAGGCCCACTAGTATACTTTTTCATGATATTCTAATATTTTGAGATAGGATATTTGAGTTTTCTTAAGCTGTATGCCATAATAAGCAATATTAAAACAATAAAAGGCTTGCAATATTTCAGTTGATGTGTAATGAATCCAGAATGTATGACATTTTCACGTTTTTAGTTGCATTACAGAAAATAAAGGACTTTATCACAATATTCTAATTTTCTGAGACAGTCCTGTATATGAAAATTCAAGCTACAAGAAGCATCATCTCGCTAACAGTTTTAAGAAAGAGAACATTTTTATTCAGCCTTTACTAAATAAACTAAGTTTTAACACGAATAACAGTTTAGAAATATAGATATGTTGAATTTATTACCAAATTTCTATCCTGTGAGTGTGTTTGATTACCTAGAGCTTCCAACAGTGCACATTTTTGTAGCTATATAAGCCCTTTAACACCCATTACATTACATGTCCCCCCTTTAATGAATCTTGTAAGCTGTATGTAAAGCAAACCGCAACCTAGTGAATCACTGCAGGTTTTACATAGGGAATTCATGATCAAATTCAGAATAACCATGGCCAATACAAAGATGTCAGCTCTTTCTAACCCTAGATTTGTCTTTTACAACCCTAGATTTGTCTTTTATACTGCAGCTGTGCTCGGAGAGGAGCCGATTAGACTGTGAACTTTTTGGCAACATCAAATATCAAAAATCAGATTAGACTGAGCCGATTAAAAGCCGATTACACTGTCAATTTTTTTGCAACATCAAATGTCAAAAATCAGGTCAAAATAACTTCAAATAAGCTGAAATTTTCTGTGGGTATTTAGACTTTGGGAAGAAACATATATATGCAATATCATGGCTCTACACTCTTTTGTTGGCTACTTCCTGTTTGGGAGGGGCCACAGACTTGGATCCACCGGAATATGATTTTATAGTTTCCAAAGGTGTCATAGATCAATTTCTATATCTTTAGACACAACAGAAGCATGATGACATCAAAAAAAGGAACAGGGTCAAAACAAGCAGGCTTCATCACCACAAGTAGGCCTAACACAGTCAAATGAGACCCGTAGAACCCTGATTAAAGAGCTGAAGGCATCAAAATCATCAGGAGTCACTTTGGCTAGTGAGGACTAGCCAAAATGTCCTCACTTCCCAAATATGACCTCACACTGTTGGTTAAACTGTAGCAAGTCCTCACTCAGCAGCAAGTACAAGAACACACACTCACACACACACAGCAACTCAGAGGCAGCAGCTAGTAGCTGTCACCCGGCATTTTAAATAAATGAGCGCCTCCTGCCCTGTCCAACGAGCCTGCTAATTGTATTTTCTCTGACTTGGTGGCTTTGTCAGGCTCCATCAGTCTTGTGTGGCATGTAAAAATTGACAGTCCACCTAGTTGACATTGTGAACGGTAGGCAGGTCAGGGCCCCTCGCTCCTCGGGGCCAAGGGGTTTGTTCAAACATTTTGCTTTGCCTCATTAATTCTCCCAGAATAAGAAGGCAAGACTTAGAGCAGCATTGTTTTTGGCTTGGTGCCATACCCTTTGCATTATGTGAAGACAGTAAAGACCTGTTTTCCCATGATTTAGCCTAGGGGTACATAGAGACAGTGTTAGAAACTACCATCTAAAACAGCGGAATTATTCCGAAGTCGAGGCATTTCAGTTTTCAATGTGAACACTTTACAGAGGGCTTGCAGTGGCAGCATCAAGTCAAATTGGAGCTAAGTATGGTGTCAAACAGTCACTCTGAATGATCTGGCCAAATAACACTTGGAACATATTTTCTGCATCTCCATGTAGAGTAAAAGCTTGCAAACAGTTTCCAAGTCACGCTGAAGACGACAGTGTTGGCAAAACTGTAAAGCCGAATATTTTGTGACATTTGAAGCTGAATGTCTCATTTTGCAGAAGCTAGAGTAACCTTTTCTCTCTCACTGTTTTAAGTGACATTCTTTATCGACAGATCACTCATGCATATATCAAGTACTTTTTTGCAATTCCCTGGACATTGAACAAAAGGGGAAACAGGTCCTGATGATTTTCATGTGGTATCATGTTCACAAATGCTATGTAATGGCACGGCAAATCACCAGGCCATACTCTCACTTCTTGCTCTCAAATGTCACCGCAACACTGTGTGAATATAAACGCTTAACATTTAGTGGCAAATAATGGGATGTAGACGAGGCATTTGTAGCGCTGACATTTTAGATCAGTGCTCATATGTGTTCTGGAGAAGCTGCAGAAAAGAAAAAAAAAAGAGCTAATGTGTGAGGGGGTCTCAGCGGCTTAAAACGCTGCTAAATTGGAGACAAAAGCAGAGAGGGGAGTTGGAGAGTTGGAGAGCAGCAGCAGAAGGAAGAGTAGAGGAAGAAGAAGGAGGAGGAAGGATGAGTGTTTCTTTTTTTGAGATCCGCGGCTAAGAGAGAATTACACTGGAAGAAAAATTGCCATTGTCGCAGGCAGAGACAGTGGTAAATGGCGCGTCATTTTGCAGTAATTTACAAATCGCGGAGTGGAAACAAAATTAGATTAAGTGGGTCCGTTGAAATGGACCTGCTGCACATCACTATTAATTATGTGGCTGTCAGGGGTAAAGATTATTTATTTTCATGGCAGAGAGTGAAATCACGCTGTAGGTGACTGCTTTGGGGTTTTTAGGGAAGTCATTTTTCATCTGCACATGCTCCTCTAAACAGAGCAACAGGGAAACATGGACGTTCAATCAAAGGCCACTAATGTCTACATTATCGTCCAGGGCAATAAATGGCTTAACCTGCCTTATGGGGAATAATAGGCTGAACCACTGTTGCGATGTCAGTGCCGACATTAATGAGGGGGGTACTGTTTACTTTGCCCTGAATGGTCAGATAAATGGTGTATGCAGAACAAAAGCTTGAACCAAGCATGTGAATTTATATCATTCCTAATGTTCAGCGACATAATATAACTCTCAAACCCAGCTTTGTCTTTTTATTACAGGAAGGGCAAAAATAAATGTACAAGTGTAATCTATATTGTTCTGTCATTAAAAACATAAGACCTTAAATGAAAGGTTCCATTGTGAGCAGTAGTTCTTTTACAGAACATAATGTGAAGTGAAAGATGTTTACAGAACATTTTTCAACATGTGGCATGCCAGCTTTTCCACTGAGTAGTCAGAAGGTCAAAACTTTATCAGAGCACACAATAACTTAGTCTTGCTTTTACACTGCAAATACTGTACAGCACTATAGAGAACAGAAAAGCTATTCTTCTTTATCGTAATTTCATAGTTTAGGTAAACATAACATTGAAACTGAATAGAAGATAACACATAATGTGGATTCATGAGCTCCCCTCTCATACTTGAATGTCACTCTCGGTAGTCAGCACCAGCATAACTAGTCAGTTGACACAAATTATTCACATTTTTATGCTATTAGACTTGAAACACCAGTCAAAGGTCTTGTCTGAGCTGTAGTGCACCCATCACTTTCCAGGTCTGTAGCTCCAGTGTAAAAATGACAGAAAGCATCTGGTAGTGTGGCCAAGTCTGTAAATGGAAATAAACATTTTGGTGGGCTGTGTTTGGCTAAATTGACGTATAACCTGCTGGCTGTGTTGAGTTTTTTTTAAAAGGACCTACAGAGGGTTCTTTAAGCAGTTTTTTGTTCCATAAATTTTAATCTTCTGTTTTTGTCATCAGTCTGATCACACTGATACACATGGAAATATGATTTTTAAATACACAACATAAGTTATTTTTATGAAATAATACATAAACTTTAGGAAATATATTCAAATAAATGGGAAATAAGTTTCTTTAAAACATTCCAGTATGTGCTTTGTATATTTGTAAAGCTAGTGTCATTGGATGTATTACTTAACATAGACTCAATCTTATGAATCTGGAGCTAAATATTCCTGCAAAATGAAAGATGATAATAAAAAAATGTATTCCCTAGTTTAAAAAATTACCCTTTTGGTATTATAGGTAATT